GAATGGCTATCCTTAAAGAGTCTACAAATAATAAATGTTGGAGAGGGTGTGGCGAAAAGGGAACCCTCTTATACTGTTGGTGGGAATGTAAATTGGTGCAGCCATCATGGAAAACAGTATGAAGGTTCCTCAAAAAAAACTAAAAATAGAGTTGCCATATGATCCAGCAATCCCACTCCTGGGCATATACCTAGACAAAACTATAATTTGAAAAGATACATGCACCCCTATGTTCACAGCAGCACTATTCACAATAGCCAAGACATGGAAACAACCTAAATGTCCATGGACAAATGAATGGATAAAGAAGATGTGGCAAATATACACAAAGGAATATTCTCAACTATAAAAAAAGAGTGAAATAATGCCATTTGCAGCAACATGGATGGACCTTGAGATTATCATACTAAGCAAAGTAAGTCAGAAAGAGAAAGACAAATACCATATCACTTATATATGAACTCTAAAATATGACACAAATGAACTTATCTAGGAAAAAGAAACAGACTCACAGACATAGAGAACAGATTTGTTGTTGCCAGTTGGGGGGTTGGGGAGGGAAGGATTGGGAGTTTAGGATTAGTAAATGCAAACTAGTATATACAGGATGAATAAACAACAAGGTCCTACTGTATAGCACAAGGAACTATCTTCAATATCCTGTGATAAACCATAATGGAAAAAAATATGAAAAAGAATATAGGGACTTCCCTGGTGGCACAGTGGTTAAGAATCCGCCTGCCCATGCTGGGGACATGGGTTCGAGCCCTGGTCCAGGAAGATCCCACATGCCACAGAGCAACTAAACCCATGCGCCACAACTACTGAGCCTGCGCTCTGTAGCCCGCGAGCCAAAACTACTGAAGCCTGCGGGCCTAGAACCCGTGCTCCACAACAAGAGAAGCCACCGCAGTGAGAAGCCTGCGCACCAGGACGAAGAGCAGCCCCTGCTTGACACTAGAGAAAGCCTGCACGCAGCAACGAAGACAAACAACACAGTCAAAAATAAACAAAATAAATAAATTTATTTTTTTTTAAAAAGGATATATATGTATAACTGAGCCACTTTGTGCTGTACAGCAGTAATTAACACAACATTGTAAATCTACTATACTTCAATTAAAAAAAAAAGGACATGGATTTAGGGACATCAGTGAAAATGGTGGAGCAATAAGAACACTGACTAACATTCTCAGAAACAATTCTTTCAGAACTCTGGAAATTAACCAAGGACTTAAAGCAATCTGGGGAATGTTTACTTAAGAAAAGCAGCTGAATCTCAGAACAGCAAGCTTTGCAGCATTTTAACTTGACCTATTCCCATCCACCTCTTCTCAGCTCCTGAAAACCAACAGCTCACAATTATAGTGAAAACCAGCAGTCTGGAAGCCATTGGAGGAGGCAAAATGGGATTGGAGAAATTTCAAAGCCCCATTCCTAGGGAATTCTCATTTGATCTATCTAGTGGTTCCCTGTAAGACCCCAAGCACAAGGCTCTATTTTTCTGATCTGACCCAGATATCATCCAGGGTAAACAGCCTTTTCCCCAGGTATGTTTGTTGAAAACTGCCAGAGACCAATGATGAACACTGCAGCTGCCTAGATACTGGTGGATAACAGATGGAGCAAACAACAGGTTAACCAAGAAGCTATCAACCAACTTGACCTTGACATCTATAGAACACTCCACCCAAACAACAACAGAATACACATACTTTTCAAACACACATGGAACATTCTCCAGGAGAGACCATATGCTAGGCTATAAAACAAAGTCACAATACATTTAAAGGGACTGAAATTAAAGTATGTTCTGTAACCACAACAGAATTAAATTGGATATCAATGAATAAAGAAATTAGGGAAAACAAATATTTGGAAATTAAACACTTCCAAATAACTCATGGGTCAAAGAAGTAATCACATAGGAAATCGAAAAATAAGGTGAATAAAGATCAAAATACAACATAACAGAATTTATGGGCTGCAGCTAAACAGTGTTTAAAGAAAAAATTATAGCTATAAACACCTACATTACAAAAGAAGAAAGACCTAACAATAGCCTAACCTTCCAGCAAAAGAAACTAGAAAAGAAAAGCAAACTAAACCCAAAGCAAGCAGAGGAATAAAATTATAAAAATTCAACTGGAAATCAATGAAACAGAAAACAGGAAAACAATACCAAAAAATGAATTAAACTAAATGTTGGTTCTTTCAAAAGATTAACAAAGCTGACAAATCTTTAGCTAGACTGACCAAGGTAAAAAGAGAGAAAATATAAATTACCAAAATCAGCAATCAAAGAGGGGACATCACCAACCTGCCAACCCTACAGAAATTTAGATTATAAGCGAATATTATCAACAGCTTATGCCAAAGAATTAGACAACTGGCACAAAACAGACAAATTCTCAGAAAGACACAAAGTACCAAAGCTGACTCAAGAAGAAATTAAAAAATTTAATATACCTGTAACGTTTTTAAATATTGAATTAGTAATAAAAACAAAAACTCTTCCTATAAAGAAAAGCCCAGGTCCAGATGACTTACTTCACTGGTGAACTCTACCAAACATTAAAACAAGAAATAATACCAATTCTTTACAAACCTTTCCAGAAACTCATTTTATGAGGCCAGTAATACCGATACCATAAGCAGACAAGGAGGACATCACAAGAAAAAAACAACAAAAAAGTCCTTAACAAAATATTAGCAACCAAATCCAGCAATGTACAAAAGGGATTATTCACCATAATCGAGTGGAATTTATCCTAGGAATGCAAGGCTGGTTTAATATCCAAATATCAGTTAATGTAATATATCCAATTAACAGAATAAAAGACAAAAAAATACATGATCACAGAAACAGACATAGAAAAACTGTTTGACAAAAATCTAATCCCTAGTCATGATTTTTTTAAAAAAGAAAAACTCTGAACAAAGCAGGACAAAAAGGGAACTTCCTCAACTTGACAAAAGGCATCTATGAAAAACTTATAGCTAATGTCATAATTACAGACAAAAGACTGCATACTATCTCCCTAATATCAGCAACAGGCAAGGATGTCACTTCAACCCACTGCTACACTGAAGGTTCTATCCAATGCAGTCAGACAAGAAAAAGAAATCAAAAGTCTCAAATTGGAAATGAAGATGTAAAACTGTCTTTATTCACAGACAACCAGACATATGATCCTGTACGTATAAAACCCTAAGGAATACACGAAAATCTATATAACTAATAAGCAAGTTCAGTAAAGTCACAAAATATTAAGTCAATATACAAAAACCAATTGTATTACTGTGTAAAAGCAATTAACACTCCAAAAATGAACTTAAGAATACAATTCTATTCAAAAGAATATCAAAAAGAAAAAAACACTTAGGAATAAATTTAACAAAAGACGTGCAAGACTTGTATACTGAAAACTACAAAAACATAGTTGAAAGAAATTAAAGACCCAAGTAAATGGGGAGACATTTCATGTTTATAGATTGAAAGACTCAAAATTACTTAGATGGCATTTGTGCCCAAATTGATCTACAGATTCAGTGTAATCACTACCAAAATCCCAGCAGGTAGTTTTGCAGAAATTGACAAGCTAATACTAAAATTTGTATGGAAAAGCAAAAGACCCAGAAGAGCCAAAACTTAACATCTCCCAATTTAAAAACCAATTATAAAGCTACAGTAATCAGGAGGATAAACATACAGATCAATGGAACAGAACTGAGAGTTCAGAAATAAAGCCTTACATTTACCATCAACCGATTTTCACAAAGATGCCAAGACTACTCAATAAAAAAAGAATAGTGTTTTCAACTAGTGACAGGACAATTGGATAGCCACATCCAAAAAGCCCCTTACCCCACACCATACACAAAAATCAATTCAAATGACTGTCTCATAGACATAAATATAAGAACTCAAACTATGAAGTTCCCAGACAAAAACAGAGGAAAGTTATCTTTGTGATCTTGGGTTAGGCAAAGATTTCTTAGATATACCAAAAGTACAATCCACAGCAGAAAAACTGCTCAACTGAACTTCATTAAAATTAAAACCTTTTTCTCTCCAAATGACACTATTAAAAAAATAAAAAGAAAATCCATGGACTGGCAGAGAACATTTGCACATATCATATATGTGATAAAGTACCTATATCCAAAATACATAAATAACTCTCACAACTCACTATTAAGAAGTCAAACCCAACTTTCATTCCTCTGGAGCTTAAATTCCCTGGCTCTCTCGATCTCCCCTTTTAGGGCAAAAGATAATTTGTTATCCTTGACAGAGAAGTCAGAAGCCAAACTGGTCAAATCTGCTTCTTTTTCACCACCCACCAAGACGTCCACAACCACGCCAAGCAAGAACCTATCCTAAACATCCGTTTTTGCTTTTCTGGACGTTAGCTGCCGAGATAAGCCGCCCTCCGGTAGCTGTTCTTTGCTGCATCTTTTCAAATCTGAGTCAACTCAGGGGACTCCTGTGCAACCATTCCACTGTGTTTAGACCTTTCATCTTTCCTCTCATTCCTGTTACTGCTCCAGTTAACATTTCCTTTCCGAACTGTTCACCGACCCCAGCCGGCCCACGCTTTCTCTGACCTTTTGAAGTCGGCTTTCCTAACAGCAGAACTTCTGGGGTCTGATTGGCCCGAAGGCGAATCCCAAAGTACGAACACCTGCCAGCTGGGGGGCCGTGGGCCTGTCTCCGAGCCTCCCTTTCCTCCCCGTAACTGTGGCAACAACCCCAACACCCGAATGACGCTAGCCGGGCACAACACCTGGCACGTTTCGGCCACTCGGTACATGCTGGCAGCGCCCTAACGCACTCCCCTCCGGCAGCCCGCTCGAGGGTCGTGCTCTCTTAAGTTTCTCTTAAGTTTGGTCACCCAGCGTCGCCAACCTCTCCGAGAGGGCCGAGTGCCTCGAGAGGCGCGGCCGAGACCGGAGGCCAGCACGGAGGGAGGAAGGGAGGAAGCCGAAGTCCTCACCTTTTGGTCCAGCTCCAGGCGGTAGGGCACGGCCTGGATCCTGCGGCGCGGCCGCGAGCCGGCGCGGGGCTGGGGTCCGGAGCCGGGCAGCACGAAGGTGGGCACGCCCAGCGCCCCGGAGAAGCTGAAGCCCCACACGAAAATGCGGTCGGCGCGGGTCGCGCGCTTGCCCACGTACTGGAACACGGGCGCGTCCGCCTCGGCCTCCGCCGTCTCGCGCCGGCTCCGCGAGCGCCCGGCCGCCGTCCAGTGTCCGCGCCACGGCCCCGGCCCGCTCAGCCGGCGCCCCAGCCGAGCCCCCGCCGCCAGCGCCATCCTCCGCAACACGCCTCAGCCGTTCTTGGGCGCCGCCATATTGGCGACCTTTGACCTCCCCCGGCGGAAGAGCCTGCGGCCACGTTTACTATTGGCTGAAAGCAAAGGCCTTGAGGGCAGCCAACGGCTCAGGGAGGCTGGAGGGCTGGGCTGGACTGGGCGGAGCCTGGTATCTACCATTCCTGAGTGACTCGACCTAGAGGACCCGGCCCGGCCCTACCGACTTAGTGCGCGACCTTTCTCCGAGCTCCGGTAGCCGGTCTGAACTCACTCGCCTTCCCGCAGAGCGCGTGTTTGCTGAGCACCTTCCCGGCTCTGGTGGGCGCTCTCATTTTGCAAAGGCCCTTTGCTTTTTGGTAATCAGCAGGAGTAAAATTTAAGAGGTTGCCCACTCTGCGCGACTCCAGCGTAGTGCTCGCCCCTATCCTCTGTCCCTCGACACTTTTTACCTGGCCCTGTTGCCTCTGTTCCCGCTCCCACGCCGCTCAGTCGGCGCTCCAGCCACAGAGAGCTCCCTGCTGTCTTCGACAGTGCATCCTCCTCCCAGCCTCACCTCGCCCCTGAGCCCATCACTCCACTTAAGGCAGGTGGCTCTACTTGTAATTTCTGAATCCCAGGGATGTTTCAGGCCTTCCTTTGCACACAGCGCCTTGAATGCCCTTCCGACTGCCCTCTTCTCCCTGCAGGTGTCTAGCAAACTCCTACTCGCCTTCTAACATCCAGCTGGAGCACCTCCTTTGAAGTTCCACGAAGGCAAGAACTTCATTCAGATTGTCCTCACCAGTTTTGTACTAGAGTTTAGCATGCAGCCAGGAACAAGGCATGCCCTCATGAATGATTTGCGAGTCTGGGGACCTGGGTTCCTGTCCTGGCTCTGCTACTGACTTGTCCCGTGATGTTGGGAAGTTGTCTCCCTTCTCTGGATCTCACCTTTAAAATGAGGAGATATTAAAAAAAGATCAATACATGAAAGGAATTTTTGAACTTCATGGCCTGTAGGATCTCTTGCAGCCCATTATGATCTATGACAGTCATTCCCGAATATTAGTCCCAAATGCTGAGAGCAAACTGTCTCTTTTTCCCTCCTCTTGCTTTTCTCTCCTCTTTATATGCTCGATAACTGTATCAACTTTAATAATGTAATAGCCAGTATTTTGCCGGCAAAAGTGAGGTTATTTAGGAATAAGAAGAGAAACTGCAAATTGAGAAGTACAAACCATGACAGACCACAGGCAAATCCGGAGAACGAAAGGGAACTTGCTTTTATATGGAAAAGTGGGTAATTGGGAGGGGCTGTGATAACCAAAGAGTCCACTGGAGGAAGCTGGGTGTCCAAAGTATAGTGGCTTCTCATTGGTTGGGTAGAGGCATCTTCCTGTCCCAGATGTGGGCATTTGTCTCTTCCTGTTTGGAGTAATTGAAGATGCATGGTGGGGCATAAGAGCTCCCCCTACAGTCCTGTCCTGACTCCAATTTTAGCCGAGGTTCTTTAATTCCGCAAGGCCTTCGTGGGATTAGATAGGCAAGGATTTTATTAGGGAAAATATCTCTGTAAGAGAAAAAGGGGAGGGAGGTGCTCAGAAAGCTGGGAGAGCCATCAGGCCACGATACAAATCTGACTAAATGAGGGAGAGGGACTTCCCTGTTGGCGCAATGGTTAAGAATCCGCCTGCCAATGCAGAAGACACAGGTTCGATCCCCGGTCCAGGAAGATCCCACATGCCGCAGAGCAACTAAGCCCCTGTGCCACAACTACTGAGCCTGCGCTCTAGAGCCGGCAAGCCACAACTACTGAGCCCATGCATGGAGAGCCCGTGCTCTGCAACAAGAGAAGCCACCACAATGAGACGCCTGCGCACCGCAACGATGAGTAGCCCCTGCTGGCCACAGCCTGTGCGCAGCAACGAACACCCAATACAGCCAAAAATAAATAAATAGATAAATTTATAAATAAATAAATGAGGGAGAGGAAGAGGGAAGCCTGGGTAAAAGTGTCCTATGGCTGCTGTACAGTCTAAGGAAGACTTGGTAAGGTCACTGGGGAGTGCTGGAGCCCAAGATGACCATCAGAGGAATCCATGCCTCCCAGGATCTGGTCTGCCCCAGTGTCTCTTCCTGCCTCATTCAGTCACTGGGAGCAGTGCAAGGGAAGCATGACCTCACTGCAAACAGAGGATAGATTTCACAGCTTTGGTTAATTACATTCACTGTAGTTGGAGGCCTTGAGGAGCAGTCTCACAGCTACCACATCGTATCAGTCAGTTTTCCCCCATCACCCTCTATAAAACAGCCCCACAGAAGGGTAAAACATCAGCCAAATTTCACCACAGAACAGTAAAAACATGTTTCACAGGATGACTACAAAGCACATTCCAGGACAACAAAGTAATTTGAACTGGTCTTGATAGTACAACAAAACTAGATTCCTTCCAGGTGTGGAATTAATTCAAGAAACTCAGCTAAAATTGGAATCGGGACAGGCCTGTAGGGAGAGCGCTGGTGCCCCACCATGCATCTTCAATTACTCCAAACTGGAGGAGACAAATGCCTACATCTGGGACCGGAAAGTGCCGCTACTTTAGCAGCCCAACCAGTGGTGACAACCACCGGCAGCCAGCTCCTGCCGCAGGCGGTGGCGAGCAGCACAGAGCGGACCACAGCTTATTCCCCCAGCAGCCCCCTCGGGCACTGTCATAGCTAAGTGCCTCCTATGAAGCACCTCCCCATGGAAGACCTTCCTTGGTCCCCAAGAGAGTGGATTTCTGTAAAGTTCCAGAGTGCACATTTCCTGTGACCTCTGCTAGCAGGAAAGGTAGCTACCTCTCAGTGAGACCCCTACCATTCAGTGAGCCATGGATGAGCCTTTCCCAACGAGGTGGGTCTCAGCTCTGGGGGGTGGCCTCTTTCTGGGGTAGCCTGGCTCAGCCCTAGTGGCAGGGGCTCCTCCCTCCGTCTAACATTCCTGTATTCTTTAGAGTTCTCTTTACTTCATACCAGCCAAGCCCTTGTTATCATTAATAATTCTTCATATTAAACCTTCTCTGTTCAAATCACAAGGTGGTTTCTGTCTCCTCACTGGACTTTGATACACCAACTAACAAGCCACTAATTTCACTAAACCCATTTCTAACATTCATTAAGCTAATCAGCAACCCCTCCAGTGTTGATGGAAAGCGAGCTGCCTGGAGGGTCCTGGGAGCTGCCTCTGGTGCGTGGCTACTGCGATTAAATGCTAACTGACCACACCGGGAGTGTGTCTGGGAGCCCCCCCCCCCCACACACACACACACACGCACGGAGGGGAGGGTGGTTAGAGCTGAGTGAGGCGGTGGACAGAGGTAGGAGACGAGGTTGGAAGGATGGAGGAAGAAGGGCAGCAGATCACCTTTGGCCTTTGGGCCATGGTAAAGTTTGGGGCTTTTACCTCAATTTGTGACTCTATAGATATGTATGGGAGCAGGTGCATCCAGGGTCCTCAGTCACCCCTCTGGTCCTTAGTCTGACGTCTCTGACATGGGAGGATGAGCAGTTCCACGCAAGCTTTGACTCTCTTCAAGCTTCTTGTCCCATGTGCATGCCAGGCATTTTTAAATTTCTACCAAAAACTCCACAGATGCCTCAGACACAGAAAGGAGCTCACAGGGCCCATACACACATGCAATCTGGAAAAGAGGGGGAATTAACATCCTAGAGGCAAACTTCAACCAATGGGCTTAGAAGCCAAGGGATAAATGCCACCACTGAGGTGCATTCGGGGAGGCCCTCTGCGCACTTCTCAGGATCCTGGCAGAATGAGGACCCCGCTGACCACAGCGGCAGCCTCAATGGTGACCCTTACGTCTGCTTTTCCTGCATGACTCTTGCCACTCCCTCTCTCCTTCCCTACGATCGCCTCCCAAGTAAACCACCAGGGAGCAAGTCTTTATGTAAGGCTGTTTGGGGAAGGACACAAGCTAAAACAATTGGCACCTGAAGTGGGGTGGTGATAACCCCTGGCTTGCTGTAGCATCATGATTACTAAGGCTCTTTTTACTTGAGATGGAGGGATGAGGTGCAGGTAGACTCAGAGCATTTGGTTAAGCTGTATCTCTATGATACGAATAGTATGGGGGTAATAGTAAGTTTGTGGAGTTAGCTGGCTTTGTTAACTGTGTAGGAAGCCTTGAAGAAAGAATGACAGGTTTAGATCAGCCAGCTATTCACTTGGGGCATGCTGAGAAAACCAACAGGCCTCCATGATGCTGTTTAAAAAGACTTTCATCTCCTGAAGCCAAAAAGGAACCAGAGGCCTGGGATTTCAGGGTGACAGAGCTGCAGAGGAGGCCAGATGTACAGCCTTGGCAGGTCTCCTAGGCTGAAGTCAAACCGTGACAGCAAAGGTGTGGGAACTTGAGATTGGGATGGGGCACCGGGACCGTGCACCTGAGAATATTACAACACAGACGCCGCCCCCACTCTAATTTCCAGTCCAGCAGAAACGGCCCCCTCTCCCTTGATATAGGGGAGCAGCCTCCCCTCGCCTAGATACCATGCTAAGACTCCAGCTAAGTAGATGCCTCACGAGATGACACTTATCCTCCTCAAGGTGCAACCCACTTCACCTCATTGCTGCCAGACTGATATTCAGTCAGGTCTCAGCAGAACCTGAGTGAGGAAGAGCAGTCCCTATTGTAAGAGGAAACAGCTGACTCACTGACAGAATTGCAGCACTGGGCTCAGCAGGACTAGGGAATACGTGTGGGTGCATGTGTACCTTTAGGGTGTTGGACCAGAAGCGCAGAATAAAAGAATGGATGGAGAGAGTTTATTGACACAGAGCCAGCTCCTTCAGGATTTAACATCCTGGCAAGGAGCCAATTCTAATGCTGCTGGGATGGCTCTGTGAAGTTTACATATGACAACAGTATCAATAAATGAGGTGGAGATGCTGGAACTCCCTGAAAGAGAAAAGAGTCGAAAGGCTCGGGGAGGTGGGAATGTTAAAGCGGATTAATCCACCCTGTGAGTGTCCAGAGGACTCTTCCGTCACTAAGGCAATAAAAGATGTCCTGGTGAGGAAGCTCTAGCATCTTTGAGAAGCTCGGAGTGCCTAGGCTAGGGTGACAGTAGCAGATGGTGCTCTAAAACTAGACTCCCAA